AATTGCAACAGCAATTAAGAAAAAAAAACAGATTAATGAGTGGCAATCATTTAGGGGAAAGACTGCAGTTTCCATCTACACTTTAGAAGCAGATGTGGACAGATGTGGAGAGGTTAGGATAGCCTTTGTTTCTATGACCGTGAGAAAGTCAGCTGGGCCAAGAGGCTTATATAATTTGTCCCCATCTGTAGAAACTTCGTGTACTTAGTCAGACTGTCCAGTTGAAATCCAAAGAGTTGGAGCGCTTAAATCTATTGACTGCAATCTTTCACTGCAATCTTTCACCCTTGTTTAGGTTTTCATGGCATGTTAGTCGGTCTGATTAAAACCAGGGACTACTACGCTGTCTGAGAATTTCAGGCTCGCTGTTTCCTTCTCAAATTTTAAGTGCATGTTACTAGTCCTCATGGTGGGTGGAAATACAAATCAAATGCAATATGGATGGAGCAGGGTTCATAGGACTGGCCCGCTGCCCATTCAGTCAGTATGGCAATAGATATAGAATGGAAGGGGATTTTAAGTGGGAGGGGATTTTATGGCAAGGAGGGGGTTCCAGATCCGATGCACTAAGGTTAAAGTAGTTAAAGAGACAGGCCAATGTAAGAGAAAGAAGATTGTGGTTGTTGAGCGTTTCAGAAATAGTGGGAAACCTCCAGCCTTGGTCTTGGTGTAGCATCTGAATATGTTTTCATACCAATTTATCTAAGTATTCCATTTGTCTCTGGATAATAACATGTGGGGACAAATGATCAGGAGGAGAAAAATGTGATTTTAATACCCCCGGTAGCACTGATCAATTAATATCCCCAATTGATTAATATGTCCTGTGATATGGGTCTGTCCAACAGCAGTGGAAGGGACCCCCGGTTGTCCTGCCTTTATGACTCTGTCCTATTTAGCCGGTCTCCTGAACCTTGCTTAATGCAGACAGCAAACCCAACGCGGCACCACCGTGCTTATCTCGCCGAGCGCACTACAGGAGTTATAAGACAACCGTTACAATCTATTTGCCCCTCAAACAGGAGGAAATGAAAGACCCGGGCGAGGTGATTGAAAAGGTAAAGGTTAGTTGTTAGGGCATTATTATAAGAGTAAACAGTGCGGAACAGGGATCCCACGGAGGCAGAGCAGGGATGGATTTAAAAGCAAGATAACGAACCAGGAGGCAATAAATCAGGGGCACGGTATAACACGGCCAGATGGCTTGCATCCTGGCACAGGAAAGCAGGGGCAACAATGCAAAGGCCGCTCGCGGCTGTTGGGGGCATTCCTGACACCGGGACAGGGGTCATATTGTAGCTGCAAGAGGCAAGGCAGCGTTTTTCCAAGACTTAGACCATGCTGCTTTTTAATACTTTTGTTTTTCAGCTTCCAAGGACAGCAGGGCAGGGAAGCAGCACTCTCAGCCAGAAAGGGGAGGAACAATATTTTTTGGTCCCTTTTTGGAGTTAGGGGCAGGTTTAGGGCTGAGTGTTGCAGGATCAAATCAGGCATCCTGGCTGCATTCACACAAGAGCCTTAACCAGTCTACCCCTTATTTAGAAATGATCTAGTCTTTTTCCTTTTTCCTTTTTCCTTTTTCCTTTTTCCTTTTTCCCCTTTGCTCTGCTCTGCATTCCCTCCCTCCCTCCCTCCCTCCCTCCCTCCTTTCTTTCTTTCTTTCTTTCTTTCTTTCT